GCGGGACCTCGGCCACCGCTGCCAGCACTGCCGGCGGCCCTTCAGTGCGCTGGGCCTGGACATCGTCACGGAGATCCAAGGCCCGCCCGCCTCGCTTCAGGAGGAGGAGGAGGCGGAGGAGGAGGAGAAGGAGAGGAGAAGGCGGAGGAAGGAGGAGAGGAGGAGGAGGAGGAGCGGAGGGAGGAGGAGGGAGGAGGAGGAGGAGGAGGAGGCTGCGGGGCAGCCGGAGGGGGGGGGGGGGGTCGGGTCATCAGCAGCGGCCCGCGGCTCCTCGCGAGGCCGTGGATCGAGAGAGGAAGCACGGGGATCATGGCCCAATATGTGTCGCGGGATCTTGTCCATGCCGATCTTGGTCATGGTCCATGTCATTCCACGTCGGCCAAAGCTGGGTCGCGAGGATCATGCACGGATCGGCGCTGATCAAGGCCGACGCTGACCAGGATCGGCTCGGCGGTTCCGCGCTCAGTCTTGGTCATGGTACCCGCTGTCTTTCCCTCCAGTCAAGTCTCCAGGAGGCGTGCTCATGGTTCGCCTTCGTGCCCGTGTTCGCCTTTGGTGCAGCCCACCGCTCGCTTTGACCTGCGCCTGACCGCCTTGCACACCCTGGCGCCCGCGGAATTGTTACGCATTTATTTATTTACATATGTATTTATTTACGCATTATTTCCATTTATTAATTCATCATTGTTATACTAGTATCCGTACCCGTATTCGTGTGATTATCATCATTATTAAGCGTATTGTTGTTATGTTGTGAATGTGCGTATTCGTGTTACGATCAGTAGTATCATCCGTAGTATCAATAGTGCTAAATATACGATGGTGGATGTGATTAGCATGGTTGTTATTATTAGTGGTATACCATGATTCGTATGTGTTGTAACATGATGCCTGCTTGCATGTATGCATGTGTGCACTTATGTACGTGTGCATGCATGTCCGTATGTATGTGTATGTATGTTTATCTATATATATATATGTCTGTATTACGGCCAATAGTTTGTATTAGCACTATTCGTGCAATTATAAGAAGTATGAATCATGTGTGTGTGTTTCGTACTCGTATGCATTTGTTCGGGGAAACAAATAAAACAACAGTTCAGAGGGGCTGCCCTGCCATTGCTTCTGCGGCGTGGCAGCTGTCCAGGTGAGGGAGGCGCGCGCAGGGGCCCGGCCGACCGCGCGGGCGTGGAGGGCGGCAGGAGTAGCACCAATGGGGGCACCGGAGCATGCCTCTGCGCGTGGCTTTTCGAAGTCGCAGGTCGTTAAGTTCACGTGACCCTCACCAGGGAAGAAGCACACACACACACACAGTGACACAAACAAAACCTTAGCGCGGACGCGGAACGGTTCGGCGCGTCGCACCGCGACGAGGGGTGCGGCGCTCGACCCTGGCCGCGCGCAGCGGTGCCCCGAGCCGACCCGTGGCTCGGGCACTCGCCTGTCTCGCCGGCCTAGCCGAGCGCCCAGCGCGAGCACCCCAAGCCGGATGGCCACCGTGGGAGCGGCGGGCGGGCAAAAACCGCACCGCAGGTGCCCCTCGCCGAGCGCGGCGGGACACCCACCCAGCCGAGCGTGCGCGGCACCCCTCCCAACCTTGGGCGGCGCACGCGCCCCTCGCGCGCTCGCCTATGCAAGCAGGGCGGATTGCGCGACGCCTCGCGCCCACCGCTTGGGCTTGCGTCGCCCCGCGCCGCTGCGCGTCGCGCGGCGCCCCCTCCTTTCGCCCGACCACGGGGGCTGGGGTGGGGCGCCCGCCCCGCTGTTTCGTGACCGCGATCGGCGCTGCACGATGCTCTCCCGCCACAAAGCATGGTCGATGCCTCGGAAAAGAAAAGGACAATAGGGGAGTTGGAGGGGAAGACGAAGATCCAGGAAATAAAGAGAATATATGGGAAGCCGTGGGACTTTTGTCTATCTATGTGTGTGTGTGTGTGTTTTGTAGGCCCCTTCAGATTCGTGGCTTGAGCCCTCGCCACCCCGCCTCTGGCCAAGGAAGGACAGGCCAAGTAAGAGCTTAAGTCCGGCATGTCCCTCTGCAGGAGGAATCTTCTAGAATGGTGTAGTTTTTTCGTGCTGTTTTGAATGTGTTGATTTTGTTTTGTCAACCTTTAAAGTTTCCTCCAACATCTGCCTGTAGGAGGACACGCCCGACCTAATCTTATAGTCCCTTACACACTGTGATCGTTGCTTTTTGGTCGACAGTTCTTATGTGTACTAGGCGGGACTGGAACCTCGCACCATGAGCATTTGTGAGAAGCTGCAGCTCTGAAGAAGGGTGTTCTGCCCGCCGAGGAGCTGCCCCAAGGAGGTGCCGCTTTGATGCCCCAGGCCTCTTCAGGCCTGGGCCGCGCCGAAGTTGCCGAATCATTAGAACAGCTGGCGATATGAAGGAATGTTCAGCTCATGTCGTAGAAGAGGACCTAGCTGGACAGCATGATCTGGCGGGAGTGCGCGCGCAATTCATGGTATGCGACCCACCAGGTGCAATTCTGGGAAGCGATCGAAGGGGCCCCATCGGTTTGGCACGATAGGGCCCCAACTGTTGCATTTCAGCCAAAACTAGGCGAGAATCGCAGCAGGGCCAACTCGTCACAACTAAAAGCAGCACCCATGCGTGCAGCACTGATTTGGGAAGCATAGCGAGGCGTGCGCCATCTGTTTCGTGCGCAGACGGCTCGCACGTAAACCAGGTTTGGATTTGGCATTGTGGTCGACGCATCGTGTATTCCCCAGACGGTGCTTGCAGCGATGGGCTCTTGTTCTAGGCGCTTCGCGTAACCCCAGCAGCCCATCCAGAAATGCTGCCCAGACGATTTGCCCTGATCAGGGATGCTGAGGAGCATGCAGTGGAGCAGCGGACTGGGTAAGACTTTATACCCCAAGAGGGGGCGGATGGAGGAGGAATCGGAGGAGGAGGAGGAGGAGGAGGAGGAGGAGGAGAACGAGGAGGAGAACGAGGAGGAGGAGGAGGAGGAGGAGGGGGAGGAGGAGGGAGAAGGGCAGGGGGAGGAGGGAGGAGGGAGGAGGAATAGGCGGATGAGAGGAGGAGGAGAAGGAGGAGCAGGAGGAGAAAGAGGAGGGCCAGCAGACGGGCTGAGGTCTCTTTGGATGCCGCTCAGAGTCTCTTCGGATGTCCCTCGAGAGCTTCTTGGAGTCCTCTCTGAGCATCTCGGGGGGCTCTAAGCGCCTTGGGGGGCATCCTGGTGTGGCTCGGGTGCCTCGGGGGATCCGCTTGGGGCCTTCTGGGAGCCTCTTGGGGAACCGCTTGGGAGCCTCCTGGGGCCTTCTGGGCGCCTCTTGGGCCCTCTTGGGGCACTCTTGGGAGCCGTGGGGGCCATCTTGGGACCATCTTGGAGGAGTTCGATCAGAGAAGAGGGGCTCCTCAATTAAGCCCCCTCCCCCCGGAAGCCAAAAGGAAACCCATAAACCTTCGTAAAATCATTGATTTCGGCCTTCTCGCCGAGGCCGTCTCGGACGCTCCAACCCCTCGCGAACCGCCCCCCCAGGTCCAGGGGGAGAGAGCAGGAGGGGGGGGATACCCCTCCCCGAAGGGGAGGGAAATTTAAAGGGGAATCGCTCTAAACCACTCAAGCCCTGACGAGCTGGTGGGATTGTGGCCGAAGCATCCGTAGATTCCCCGAGCGGTGCCTGCGGTGATGGGCTCCTGCTCCTCCTCCTGCTTCCGAAGCCAGCGCTCCTCCAGCCGGCGCACACCCAGAACGGTGCTGTCCACTTGGCGGAGTCGGGCGGCATCTGCCCGAGGTGCCCCCGCCACCCCTCCTCCCCCTCCCCCTCGTCCTCCTCCTCCTCCTCGTCCTCCTCTTCTTCCTCCTCCTCCTCTTCTTCCTCCTCCTCCTCCTCCTCCACCCTCCTCGATCTGAGCGGCGTGCTCCCCCCACTTCCCCCTTCCTCCCACCACCGTGCCCGGCCAGGGCCACCCTGGGCTTCCACGCTGGTGTATATAGACCCTGCAGGCCTCGGCCACGAGGCGTACACTTGCGTGCCCATCGGTCGTTGAAAGTGGGTAGTTTGGGCTTCCTAGGTTCCAATCTGCTTCCTGCCTAGGCGCCTTCCTACTTCAATGATCGAGTGGCTTCACCTTTTCCGTTCTCTTTAGGGGGGGGACGGAAACCCAATCTATTTTCAGCGCCTTTCTATTTCATGTTTCCACCTACTTCTTCCGACCGATGGGTATACATGCGTATACGCCATGCCAGGGCCCAGGATGGCCCTGGCCAGGAAAGGGTGGTGGTGTACATGTAGATGCCTTCTGCGTGTGCTCCCACCTGAGAAGCCTCCTCGCAGTTGCCGCTCCAGCTCCCCTCTTCGTGGGCGTCCCTCGTGGGCGCCTCGGCGCCGCCCCGTGCGCTGTGGCTGGCGTTCCCCGGGTGCTCGCCCAGGTGGCCGCGCGGTCGCCGCCCGTCGTCGCCTCGTCCACCGCCCCGTGCGCCGGCCGACATATTCCCGGGTGTTCGCCTGGTGGACCGCCTCGTCGACCACCCCGTCGCCGCGCGGGCGCCCCGCGAGCTGACCGCATGCGTAGATGTGACCGCACAGCGTGCACCACGACGCAGCGTGGCTCGAGATCTTTTTTTCTGTTTCTCCCCCCGAGCGACAGCGGGCGTCACTGGGGGGGGGGGAGGGCGAGGGGGCCGGCAACGTCACGCTTCGCGCCGGCGCCGTTCAGGAATGCTTGGGGATGACCAAAGGCAGCGCTCGGATTGCATATAGAGGGATCTGCTACTCAGAGCGTGCATGCATGCCTCTGGGGATCTGCAACGGCAGAGCGCCTCCCTTCTCCTTCTCCTCCCCTTCCTGCTCTTCCTCCTCTTCCTCCTCCCTCATCCCTCCTCCTTCTCCTTCCCCACTAATCGTAGTCGTCGGCGGCGGCGGCGGCGCCGTCGTCGTCGTTTTCGTCTTCGTCGTCGTCGTCATCGTCGTCGTCGTCGTCGTGTTCCTTCTCTCGTCGTCCTTGCCCTCTTCATCATATTGCCAGGTGCTTGGGACGAGGACAGAAGAAGGGAGGAGTGAGTTGAGAGGAGAGATGGGGCGAGGGACGTGGGGTCAGGCCGAAACGATCTGCTCCATTACACTTCTGCTGTCGCTTCGCGCTCCGGGAGGAGGCTGGGCGCTCGCGGGCCCGAGACGGGAAATGGCCGCGTCGTCGTCCTACTCATCCTCTCGTTGTCCTCGCCCTATGTATGTTCCTCTCGTTGTCCTCGCCCTATTTATGTTCCTTGCCCTATTTATGGTCCTGCTCTTCTTTCCTCCCGTTGTCCTCGCCCTATTGATGTTCTTCGCCAAGCGCGTTGTGGTGCTCGCAGGACACTCTGCGGAGCTCGCAGGCGCCCGCTCTGCACTCAGCCAGCGGCCTCTTTTGGGGAACTTGTGCCCAAAGCACCGGGACGTTTCTCCCGTGTGTTTCTTGCCTAGAAGCTGTGTACACATGACTCGAGTTAGGGGATCGACTGCAGAGTTGATTTACCCCAAAGTTGATTGTTTCGCCGAGTGTACGAGAAAAGCGCAGAATGTTCCGTAGATCCACACAACATTCTACGTGCTTTTGTTCGTAGACCCGCCAGAAAATCAATTCCGTGGTAAATCAATTCTGTAGTCGATGCCTTGCGCTACTACAATGACGTGGCCAGCTTTAGCGAGAGCTGGATACACGTGTTGCCGCATGTCTTTCCTGAGGGCGCCCCAGCTATGTGGCGCGCACGCTGTTGTGAGGTGAGGCGCCCTGCAGCGCAATGAGGAGAAGTAGGATGGCAAGAGGAGGAGCATGGGGAACAGGAAGGGGAGGGCGACCACGACGAGGCCACGAACCCGGGCCTGGGAGCGCCCAGACCCTTCCCAGAACACGCATCGATAGCCGAGGTGTAGTCAAGCAGATCGTCCCATGTTGGCCCCGCTTGGCGGGCGTTTTTTTATTAATTGTTTTGCCGATCGGCGCCGGCCCTCGCCCCCCCCCTCCCCCCCCCGTGGAGTAGATCTTGGTTGTTTTTGGCGCCTGTTTCAAGCAGGTGGGGTCCCTTCCCCATCGGCCGCATTGTCGCAAACAGTCGCACTAAGCGGAGGGTCGGAGCCAAACCCCCCTCCCCCCCTTTTCCGCCCAATGTCGAAACGCCGAATAAAAAACGCTCACATGCCTTGCCCCCTCTCTCCTTTCGAGTCCCTCCTTCATCCGTCTGTCCTTGTTTGACACTGTATCGAAGACGCCTACGGCGAATCAGCGCCGCCCCCTGCTTTTTAGGTTACGCCTATATGGCCAAACGTTAGGGCCAAGTTTGGCCACGCTATTGGACCATGCGTTCCCCCAGCCGTTCTGGAAGCCCTTCGTGGAACACGTGGGGGAGGAAGAGGTGGACAAGGAGAGAGAGAGAGAGAGAGAGAGAGGAAAAGGAGGATGAGGAGAAGGATGAGGAGACCTCTTGAGAGCTTCTTGGGTCACTCTTGGGGCCTCCTGGGAGCTTCCTGGGGGCCTCTCGGAGATCTCTTGGGGGCCTTCGGGGGCTTCGTGGGGGCCTTTGGGGGCTTGTTCGGGGTCTCTTTGGCCGTCTTAGGTTCTCTGGACCGTCCTGGGGCCTTCTTGGAGCGCTTCAGGAACCGTCTTGGAGGCCATCTTGGGCGTCTGGGGGGCCTCTTGGGCGGTCTTGGAGCCCTCTTGGGGCCGTCTTGGGGCCTCTTGGGGCCTTCTTGGGGCTTCTTGGGATGTTATGGGGCCATCTTGGAGGCCTCTTGAGCAATGTCGGTGTGATTTTGCGGGGGCTCTTCGGCCGTGTTGGGCCGTCGGAAGAACGAGAAGAAGCAGATGCCACAATCTGTTCAAAACTTGGGGAGAACCAATGATCAATGATTTGGGCCTCTTCGGGGCAGGACCTCCTGCAGGCCTCTGGGGGGGCCGCTCTGGAGGCCTTTCGGGGTCTCTGAGGCCGTATTGGACCGCCTTGGAGGCTTCTTGGGCGAACGTGGAGGCATCTTGGGCTCTCTTGCACCGGCTTGGAGGCCATATTGGACTACTTCCGCAGGCCGAAAGATTTTCCTCTTGAGCCCCACATGTCGGAAGCGACGCGCCGATCCCCTCTGTTCTCCTCCCACCTCCTCTTGCCTCTTCCCTCATCCTTCCCCTCTTCATCCTGGGAAGACCCCCCTCCCCCGTAGAATCATAGCATTGTTCTGCAGATCCACAGCTCCGTGGATAGCATGATGCTTCGCTTGCGGTGCTCCGCGGATCCCATTTCCCCTGGGTTACGGATGTTTATTATTGTTTTTATTATTCTTATTATTATTATTCTTATTATTATTATTATTATTATTATTATTTTATTCCCGGGAAATAAATGGATCCATCGATTTTTCACACTGGATCCGCGCAACACAGAAATAGGATCCACGACACTCTCCCGCGCCCGAAAAATCATCCAACTGGATCCGTTGATGTTCTCATATTTTTAGTCAAAGAGGAAAAAACTTTCGGCCTGGGGATGTATCTTGGGCGAAATTGGAGGCCATCTTTGGCCGTCTTGGAGACCATCTTGGGCCGTCTTGGGGCCACCTGGAGTGGGACAAATCTTTGCAACCGGGCCTCGAGCAGCTTTCTGGGTGGTCGGCGTCCTGGGCCGCAGCACCAGGGGGAGTCTTAAAAAGAACCGAGACCCTCAAAGACGTTTCGCACGCCAGGCACCCCTGTGATAAATCAACGGGGGGCAGCAGATGACGGAAAGCGCGCGTAGCGTCACGATCCGCTAATTGAGAGAAATGACACGGGGGAGTGCGAGGGGGCTGGCAGGAACCGCATCAGATCCAATCGCCCCAATTTCGGCCATTTTCGGCCCAAGATGGCCCAAGTCGGACCCAAGAACGAACAAGAGGCCCCCGAAACGGCCCAAGAGGCTCCCAAGGCGGCCTAACATGCCTCCAGGACGGCCTCAGAGAGGCCCAAGATGACCTCAAGACGGCCCAAGAGCGTTCAAAGCGAGCCCAAGACGGCTTCAAGACAGCCAGAGGCTCTCAAGACGCTCCAAGAAGCTCGCAAAGGGATCCCCAAATTGTAACAATCGTCCAATCCCTTCAGGCAAACGTATGTTTTTAGCACATTCGCTTCTTTGGTCTGAACAGCGTCCAAGACGGCCCTAGAGGCTCCTAGGACCGCCCCAAGACGGCCTAGACTGCCTAGTGGGCTCCAAGACGGCCCAAGAAAGCCCCAATAAACCCAAGAGAGCCCCCTATGTAGCTTGCACCACATAGCTTGCTTCCGCCACATAGCTTGCACCACATAGTTTGCACCACGTAGCGTGCACCACGTAGCACACAGCATGCATCGCATCAAATACCTTGCACCACATAGCTTATGCCACATATTGTACCACAAGTATTGCACTGCGTAGCTTGCACCGCATAGCTTGCACTACATAGCTTGCACCATGTAACTTTCACCACCTCGATCGCACCGCATAGCTTGTTCCACACAGCATGCTCCACATAGCTTACGCATCATAATTCACACATCCAAAGTACGACGACTGACTGTTTTGGGGCCTCGCTATGCGACATAGACCTCCACACATGGTCTGGGCGTGTATGTGGGTGCTTACGGGGCCAGAGGACCGCTGTGATCCTACGCTAGTTCGAGAGAACATCGTACTTGCGGGAGGAGGGTGGCGCACAAACGATCTGACGGTCGCAAAAAGGCTGACCCGAGAAGGTATCGGGCAGGCATTGCACGGGTTGTGCTTGACAGGTGTATTGCGCAGGCGTGCGTGCGCAATCGACGCCTCGAGCCTATCCCGACGACGATGACGACGACGACGACGGCGACGCTGACGACTAGGACGTTGACGACGAGAGGAGGTGGAGGAGGAGGAGGAGGAGGAGGAGGACGCCTCGAGCCTATTTTGCCTCGTGGTGGCTCGTGCCAGGCCCCGCGCAGCGGTTTCACGCCGAGTGCTGGAAGCGGTTCTGCGCCGCGTACCAGGACAGGCCGCGTCCTCCTTGCCGTCGTGGCGGGCAGTTCGCTCGGCCAGCGGTCTCCTCGCTCGAGCTGCCGCAAGTCGGAGCTTTGGGAGGGGCAGGAACTCGACGGACGTCTTGGAGTTCTCGTCCTCTTTCTACTTACACCGGCTCCTGTATCATCACCTCGCCTTGCATCTCTCTCTCTATCTCTCTATAGATAGACAAGACTGCAGTGGCGCTTCGCGCCATGCACCTTGGTCCTTGACGTTTGGTATGCATGCGGAATGGCAGGAAGGGCAAACGGACAATTTAGCGATAACTCCGTGCTGCCTTTTCCGACATCGCCGTTATAATCATGTTATTCGTTATCCTTCCTCCATGTTTCTTTTTCAGTCTCGCCATAACCCTGTGCATTCTCCCCATCCTCCTCAGCTCTTCTTGCGGAGGCTCCTTCTTGGAGAGCTTCTGTTGGCCTCACAGAAAGTTTTTCAGGCTTTCTTGAGACCTTCTGGAGCCTCCTGGGCGTGTTCTGGGGGCCTCTGGGGGCTTCCTCGGGCCACCCTGCCTCCAGGCGCGGTCTCCCTGAACGACCAGGTCACGATTTGGAATGCTTCGGAGGGCGTCTTGGGGCCATCTTGGGCCGCCATGTGGCTCTCTTCGGCCATCTTGGACCCCTGTTGTGCCGTCTCTGGACTCTCTTGCACTGCCTGGAAGCCCTTTCGGATGGTTGTGGGACGATTATGGAGTCTCCCAGGCGGCTTCGGACGCCCAGAAGACCGCCGTCTTGTAGCGCCGCGACACTGAAAAGAGGAGAACTCTAAAATTCACCAATAACACGAAAATCTATAATTTTTAACTCTTGGGGCCTCCTTGGGAGTGCTCTTGGAGGCCTCTTGGGACGTGTTGGAGCGATCTTTGGGGGTATGACGGCTTCTTGGGGGTCGTTTCGGGAGCTCGCTGGCACGCTTGGAACCCGTCTGGGGCCGCCTTCGGGCTCTCATGAGGTTCTCCCGGGTCGTTTGGAGGGTTGCCCGGGCCCGGGGAGGCCCAAATTTCTTAGGGGGTGGTTTTTCTGGCGTCCCCGGCCCTATCAAAATATATGAATAGGAATACTCCCATTCATATTATTACCCAGGGACCCCCCCCTCGAGATCGGACCCCCCGAATCCTGGGCCCCCGGACCCTCTGAATCCCCCAGATCCGTTGCCCCGGGGACCCCTTGGCCGCCCGTGCAGGAGGCGCCCCAAGCGTTTCAGAGCTCCTGGAAGCCCTTGCTGGGCCTAGGCAGCGAGCCCCAATCAGTCAGGAGGGCGACCGAACGCTCCCCCGAGGGCCACAAGAGGCCCCACCAGACGCCCGAAGACGATTCAAAGAAGGCCCCCAAGAGGCTCCCCAAACGCAGAAAGACATTGATTTTCCAAGGTTTTGAATAATTTTGGGAATGCCCTGTTCTTGGGTTTCCTGAGCGTCAGAGACCGCTTGGGCATTCCAATATTCGAAAATTGCTCCAAAACCATCTGAAAGGGCTTCCAGGCATTGCAAGAGAACCCCAAGACAGCTTAACAGGGTTCAAGGGCGAGAGCTCCATGACGGCCCAAGATGGCCCCAAGACACCCTCCGAAGCATTCCAAATCATGACCCGGTCGTTCAGGGAGACCGCGGTTGGTGGCAGGGTGGCCCGAGGAAGCCCTCAGAGGCCCCCAGAGGACGCCCAGGAGGCCTCCAGAAGGTCTTCAGAAAGCCTGAAAAACTTCAGTGAGACCCGCACAGACTCTCTCCAAGGAGGAGCCTCCGCAAAAAGAGCCGAGCAGGATGGGGAAGAATGCGCAGGGTAGGGCGATAATGGGGGAAAAGAAGCATGGAGGAAGGATAACGGGTAACATTAGTATAACGGCGATGCCAGAAAAGGCAATCAGGAGTTATCGCTAAAATGTCGGTTCAACCTCCCTGCCATTCCGCCTGCATACCAAACTTCAAGGACCAAGATGCATGGCGCGAAGCGCCAATGCAGTCGTGCGTGTATATACAATACATGAATAAGCATATCATGATATATTCCTCTTCTTTTCTCTTCATTTCTCCTGTACGTATCTCCTCTTATGCTTCTTCCCTTATCTTATCATTTCGTCGCTTCTCCTCTCTTCTACCTTCTCTCTCTCTCTGTATCTCGCTCTCTCTCTCTCTCGTTCTCTCTCTCTCTCTCTCTTTCTTCGCTCTATTATCTCTCTGTTGTACCTTCTCTATTATCGCTCGTCTCTGTCTCTCTATCTCTCTCTCTCTCTGATTTCTCTTTTTTTTTCTCTCTCTCTCTCTCTCTATGTATCTCTCTTCGTTCCAGTATCTGTCTTCTCTCTCTCTCTCTTTCTCGCTTTATCTTGTATGTATATCTACACACACGCTGAAGCGGCGCGAGCCTTCGTGCGGTTCACAGCCCCATCTCCTCCTGCCCCCTCTTCTGCCACTTCCTCCCTCATTATCCTTCCTCTTCGTTCCTCCTCCCTCCTCCTCCTTCACCTCCTGCTCCTTCCTTCTGCTCCCTCCTCCTCCTCCTCCTCCTCCTCCTCCTCCTCCTCCTCCGCTCCCTCCTCCTCCCTCCTCCTCCTCCTCCTCCTCCTCCACCTCCTGACCCTGGGTATGCTCGTCGTCTCCTCCTCCCCCTCCCCCTCCTCCTCCTCCTCCTCCTCTTCCTCCTGCTCCTCCTCCTCCTCCTCCGCCCTCCTCCGCCTCCTCTTCCCTCCTCCTCCTCCTCCTCCCTCCTCCTCCTCCTCCTCCTCCTCCTCCTCCTCCGCCCTCCTCCGCCTCCTCTTCTCCCTCCTCCTTCCTCCTCCTCCTCCTCCTCCTCCTCCTCCTCCTCCTCCTCCTCCTCCGCCTCCCTCCCCCTACCCCCTCCCCCTCCCCCTCCTCCCCCTCCTCCTCCCCTCCTCCCCTCCCTCCTCCCCCTCTCCCCCCCTCCCCCTCCTCCCCCAACGCGCGAAGGAAGAGGCCTCGCCTCTGCGCGGGGGGCCGCCCGCCAGGAGACCGCGGGCGCGGCGCCCCCTCGCCAAGGGCAGCGTCCGCACAATCCGGGTCCCCCGCGAGCCGTCGTCGACGCCCCGCGGGTGCCACCGCCGTGTGGGGAGGGGCTCCTCCTCCTCCTCCTCCTCCTCCTCCTCCTCCTCCTCCTCGCCCACCTCGTCTCCTCCTCCTCCTCCTCCACCACCACCTCCTCCACCCTCTGACCCTGGGTACGCTCGTCGTCCTCCTGCTCCTCCTCCTCCTCCTCCTCCTCCTCCTCCTCCGACTCCTCCTCCACCACCTCCACCTCCTGACCCTGGGTACGCTCGTCGTCTCCTGCTCCCCCTCCTCCTGCTCCTCCTGCTCCTGCTCCTCCTCCTCCTCCTCCTCCTCCTCCTCCTCCTCCTCGGGTACGCTCGTCTCCTTCTCCCTTCCGTACCTCCCTCACCCCTTGTCTCCATCCTTCCCTCCCTCCCAGCCGGCGCCTACGGCAGGCAGCAACGCAATCGTGGCGAGGCTGGATCTTGTTTTTGTCCGAATCCTTGGCTGAAGCTTCGGCCACGTTCGCAGGACAGCGTCGCGACGACCATGAGTCGTGCATGTTGTCGCTGTCCGCTCCAAAGAATATTAGAGCCGTTTTAAGGCTTCGGAGCCCCATCGGAAACCATAAGTATCGGGGAAACGTAAGACTCGAGTAAGCCAGAACTCGGGTTTGCCGACGCTTTCTGACGAGCGCGTCCTGAATTCTGACGGTCCGGTTTTCGTGGGATGTTTGCAGCGAGAGTTCGCGTCAAATTTCAGATTGGGTCTCGTCATTTTCACGATGGCCCCGTCTGGCCAACCCGAGTCCCCCTGTACCCGAGTCTTACGTCTCCCCGAAAGTAGAGAAGGCGAGACATGTTGATGTTCCTTATAGGCTTCGGATGGATTTGTTTGGCTTCTTGGAGGGGCCCTGGGAGGCTCAGGCCTCAGGGAGCCGTCTTGGGGCGGTCTTGAGCCATCTTGGAGTATGTTGAAAGCCATCTTGAGCCATCTTGGAGAGGAGGAGGAGGAGGAGGAGGAGGAGAAGGAGGTGGAAGAGGGTGGAGGAGCAGGAGGAGGAAGAAGAGGGCGGAGGAGGAGGAGGAGGAGGAGAGGAGAGAGAGGAGGGGTGAGAGGAGAGAGAGGAGGGGAGGAGGAGGGGAGGAGAAGAGAAGGAGGAGGAGGAGGAGGGGGAGGAGTGCTGAAAGCCATCTTAAGCCATCTTAGAGCTTCAGAGGCCCTCATGGGCCAGAAGACGACCCTCTGACGTCTCGCCGCTCCCCCCGTCCAGACAAGGGGGGGGCGTATGGGGGAGGGGCGAACCTCTCCCCCGAAGGAAATGAAGGGAGTTGGGCAGGAGGAGGAGGAGGAGGAGGAGGAGGAGGAGGAGGAGGAGGAGGAGGAGGAGGGGGGGGGAGGAGAGACATAGAGGAGAGAGAGGAGAGGGGAGAGAGGAGGAGGAGGAGGAGGAGGAGGAGAAGGAGGAGAAGGAGGAGGAGCGAGGAGGAGCGAGGCGGAGCGAGGAGGAGCGAGGAGGAGCGAGGAGGAGGAGGAGGAGGAGGAGGAGGAGGAGGAGGAGGAGGAGGAGGAGGAGGAGGAGGAGGAGGAGGAAGCGCTCTGGACCGCCTCTGCCCAGAGGGCTGGTGGGGTTATGGGGAAGGATCTCCTCGTTTGCCTGCAAGCGTGTCAGGGCTGGGACACGGGAGGTACTCGCGAAGTTGAGCGTTCCATGTCAAGCACGTGCCATCGTTTGTGTCTAAAGATTCCTGGTGGGGGTGTAGCTGTGCAGCTGACCCAAGTCCAGCTGTAAAACTCACATCTGCGCGCTCGGTCGCTACGACAAAATTGTGTCACGACTGGTAGCCTAGGCCTCGGCGCGATGGCTGGTGCGCTCCAGGGAAGAGCAAGGATGGACACGAATCCTGACCAAGATGCCAGTCGTTGCAGGCGGCGAAAGCGCCCACCCAGCCTTCGTGCGTAAAGCTTACCTCAGAATAGCGAGCACGACT